TTGTTCATGGTATCTATCCTCATCCACACAGCTAAATTAGCAGAGGAAGTGTTTGAGCCTTTTTTTTTAAGTTCAAAACAAACCTACCCAAAATTCGTAGCAAATTCATTCTATTTAAAAATTTAAATCTGTCTCTGAAGGTAACCAGGCAAGAGAGCTTTTATAGTTATTATGTAATATCCTGAATCCGTGTAAACTGTTATTTTCTTGGATTTATGGGCAGCATAAGAGTCAAAACAAACCTCTGAACTTCCCTGACTTAAAGCAGAATGAATTCCTCTGTGTGTTTGTTTCTCATATCCACATTACTACACTGACTGAAAATAGACTTAACATCACAGTAATGACTGTAGTGCCAAGCTATTTGGTCAGTAAAAACAGATTTTGTCAGTATTACCACCCAGTAACCAAAAATAATAATAATAATAATAATTAGATCTCTTGTTTGTGCACTGGAGGGTTTTATTGTCTTTTCCCCAAAATGCTAATGCACCCTCCCCTTTCACTTATGTTTTTAAATCTTCTGATCTCCCCACTTCTTTGTCTTTGCTTCCCTCTAACCATCTCTCCACTCTCTTCACAAGCAGCCGATGAGGTAATCAGTCAGCTTGTTACAGTCTGATAAGTGATACGACACGACTATTGATTTTGGCCCCTGTATCCCGCTGGAGGGATCAGTCCTGCCAGATCTCCTGGCTGCCAGGCCAAGCCTCAGAGCTGCTTTCAGGATCTATGAACGGATGCTGACTGGGCTCTTTCACAGCTATTGTCACAAAACGACTGTAGGACTTTGGACAGTCACACTGACAGATTTTCTTCCTTACAAAAAGTGCTGTCAAAACAAAGTGTGTCAGTTTGATGTTGTTCTGTGACTGCGCAGAAACTTAGAAAAGCTATTCAGGCCAAACTTTGATCAAAGGAGGACAGCATCACATCGCTCCCACATGAATGGGAAGTAGGTGTCTACATTTTAATGACACTACCCCATATAACTGTAGTCACAGTACATGGTATTTTTGTCCATCATAACACAGACAAAAGCAGAACAGAACAAAAGCTCATCACCAAGCATCATCGGCTACAGAGATGCTACAAAATTGTTCATTTCACTTGGTAAACAGAATATAATGCATAACCTTTATACTGAATCAATATAATCCATTTTTATTCTGACCATTAAAATGACCACATATAACATGGGATCTAAAGGTCAGTTCAGCTCTAGGCCACTGATTAAAGATGGCAGTCAGGATCTAGGATTTCTGCCATTAAATGATTATTGCATTTTGGCCATTCAAGGCCTGATTTGACAGCCAGGTGCATTGTAGTTGTTAACGTGAACAGCAGTGAGACACACTCTGATCATCTGAAGCTGAGCATGAAGTGGGGTTTTTTTGTGGGGGGGAGGGGCATCAGTGTGCCCTAATTGGGGAGCCAACAGGAGGACAGATGGTCAAGGTCTTCCCTCAGAGATACAGGGGGGCCAGGATGGGGGTGAAATTGGTGAGATAACAGGGTGTGGGCTAAATTCAGATAAATTCAGATGCCCCGACCCCATTGTAAAAGATTCTTTACAGGCACATGTACCACATTGCTGTCACAGAGCTTGAATATCAGATCAGAGTCTTCTACTACAAGGCCAAATGGCATGACCTGTGATGCTGTAATGATCTATGCAGAACCTGGAGGTCATGAATACACACATACACAAACACACATGCACACATGTCAAACCTACTTTCTATGCACCAACTCTAATGAGAAGATGATATCTCACACAGTATGGTGGTCTGATGTGAACCCATGGGTGCAGATTAGATAGAGATGATTAATCCTTTAGACCGCTGGGAGATATATTACACCACTACAGCAACATGTCCTCAGCACAGGGATGACGCTTCATGTGAATACATGGGACTATGATTCAGGCTTGCACTCCCACAGGGTGCTGCAGTATTAACTTCAGCTGAGGGCTTTCATAAGGCTATGCAGCTTGTGTGACTGGTTGTCGTGGATTAATTTAGTTAATAACAGCACTTCTAACATTATAGTTATTGGGTTATATCCAGTCTCTTCTTTTCAGAGAGCACTACTGCACTGATGAGGGAAAACTAAAGGAGGCTAAAGGAAATGTAGCTGACGTCACACACAAGGCGTGACTAAATGTGTGCCAAGGTGACTCTTGCAAAATGAAATGAGAGAAAAGTGTTTGGTTCAGTCCTGGAAGAATTATGAAAGAATTACTTCTATAAGAGTGGGGACAACATTTCACAGTATGTCGCTTTATATCGCTATATACACATAGTGTATATAGTGATACACTAGTATATTTTATGAAGAACAGATTAATCTTCTAATTATTTTCTACAATTCAAATTTGTTTATAAAATGTCAGGATAGACAGTAGTGAAAAATAACCAAGTATGTTCAGTTTGTCTCCTAAACAGACAGAGTCAGGTGTGCTTGGGTGAACTGTTATTGGCATTTTCAACTATTTCACTATTCCGGCATTTTCTGAACCAAACCACTGATCTTATTGATCAGTGGTTTGGTTTAAGAAAAATAATCACCAGATGAGCAGATGATGACAATAATTGGCAGGTGCAGCCCTTCACTGATTCAAGTGACAGCTAAGTCAAAATCTGACATTTGTACACGTGTATACGTCATCATACTGCCGATGCCCAAACAGCACAGTTTCTACACCAGAATAGAATAAATGGAAATAGTAAAACACTTCACAGGAATAATGCAGTTCCTGTGTCTCTCTTTCTATTTTTGCCGTCATTAATCGAACACTCATGTTGTACTCTTGAGCCCAGCTGCTGCTGTCGTTTTTCCAAGAAAGTGGAAAGCTATTTTGTTACTGTAATATGTCCTGTGCGATGCTTGGCCCACTTTCCAGCCTGCTTTCATTGTGTAAGCACACATACATAAAACATGATTTGTTGCTTCAATTTCTGACTTTTATTCAGCAGGGATTTGGTGACAGACAACATCAGAGCCGTGAAAAGCAGAGCAGAGCAGTGCAATTCTCTGATTCTATAAGCAAGGGAGGAAAAAGAGAGAGAGAGTTGGCTCTATTTCAGAGAACAAGGTTTAAACACTGACCTCTAGACTTATGACTAAAGACAAATGGCCATGATTAATGAGGACCATTCATCTTGCCCATGCTGTCCTGATAGACCTATCTGCTGTATTCCAGCTTGTTAGTTTGCTCCTCTGATCAAGGAGCTCAGGTCAGACTTACTGTAGATCCAGTTCTGTTCACTAGAGGGCACCCTATCTAGGTCTGGCATCTGTATTAATGGCTGTTCTCAGTAACAACTGATCTGATATTCAACCTCAGGGAGATATGGTTGTTACAACAAAGAGTAGAATAAAAAAAAACTGCATATAAACAGATTTTTATATGTCTGAATCAGGGGCCTCCAGTTGTATTTTAATAGATTCCTTAAATCACCTCCCACCTTTATCCAGCAATGTACACCTTGAAGAAAAACAGAACCAGTACTGAGATCCTTTACTTGAGTAACAGTACTTATAGAACCATTTCAAATTCCTTCATTCAAACTCCTAAGTAAGAGCACAGAAGTATAATCAGCTAAATGGTCAAGGTCAAAGGTCAAAGTGTTTGTCATATGCACAGTTACTTAAAGTATCAAAAGTAAAAATGTCCCTTGTGACTGGGATTTTATTAAATATCATGTTATTAGACTGTTAATACTGATGCATCAAGTTATACGTAGCATTTTGCTGTTGTTACTTGCTGAGGTGAAGTTTGTCTAATTTAGGAACAGCTGGGTAGTTAGGCTCTTTGGAACCTTTCCAAGGGGACATCACTATATCTGGAAAGTGACAAGAGGCCCAAACTACAGTAGCCACTGCTTTTTTGTAAGGGGTCACAAGCCAATAAGGTTAAGTGGGTCAAGTACAGTAATATACTCCTCAGATGTATACTGCCAGAAAACAGTGACTTCATCCTGTCCAGCACTCAGACCCTCCCTAATCAATAGACTTATCCTATAACTCTCCTCTCTCCACACAGATGGTCCTCTCAGATTTCAGATCTTAAGTCATTCTCCTTGGTGGCCAGATTAGATGAGAGGACATGAGATCAGGGAGATGGCAGTAGTGGGTTGAATCTGTAATGGATCTAATGAGCAGCAGTTGATGCTTGGTCACAGCTGCACACAGTCAACCTCTACTATAAAAATCTTATTTGAAAAAAGGCCGACCTTGCATGTTCACAGGCAGCTGATGACTGATGAGGGCTTCTGTGGGGTTGCATAAGGTGATTGCACACAAAGGAACTGAAGAGAGCGTGGGGGGGCGTAACAAATGAGAAACAAAAAGACTATAGGAGAGTGGAAAGTTTTGATTTGCCTTTTCAGTGTTTCAACCATAGCTGGAGCCGAACGTTTTGTCCCGGCCCTGTCTGCCTCCAGCTATATC